AATTTTAATTAATATTTTATATATTTTTAAATAATAAACAAAAGAACCAATCATTTAACCGCTGACAAACGAAGTCTTAATATAAGTTATTAATCTTATCATCTGCGTCATTGAACATAAATTACAAAATGTACATGTTCCTGCACAGCAGGACAGTGCAGACTAATGGGATAGAGTTCAAAGCCATATTCATGGCATTTATGCTACAGAAGAAATATTACAATAACGAACATAAATATGTTTATCAAGGAAGTTATCGTGCTCCTCGGTATGTTTTGAGGTGAACTGTTATTTGCTGAACTGAAACTTGGTGGACTATTACTTGGAGGAGGTGGACTGTAACTTGGTGAAGTAGAACTTGGAGGAGGTGGAATGTAACTTGGTGAAGTAGAACTTGGTGGAGGTGGACTGTAACTTGGGGAACTGTTACTTGGTGGAGGTGGACTGCTACTCGACGCTCCTGCTCCTGAGACATTAACCTCTTGTCCGTTAATTGTCTTGACAGTAACTGATTGTGAACCTGAATACACAAATCATCAACAGAATTCGGTATCAATGGAAACTCAAAGAAACTTCTAGAGTTCCAGCTAAGTTCTACCTTTGTTATCAAAGAAAAAGAGAAACTCCAACAAGGTTAAACTCAGGAAAGTTTATTCTTATGTGTTTGTTGATAATGGTTTCAAGTGAAGCGAGTAAGGTAATTAAGACTTACAGTCATAGCTTGCCCATCCGACCTTTTGATTGGCCAGATTATAAACAACGATTTTGTCCTTTAGAATAACATCTACAAAAACATAGACACATATGAATTAATGTTGGATTTAATGGAACCAAGAGAAACATTAATTAATCAAAGTACAAGAGAAACCAGCTTAGCAAAAGCATTCAACAGTCTTGGATTGTTAATATCATAATTAAGGTACCTCCTAAAATTGTTAACTGTTGCACTGTTGTTGCCATAATGCCAAGGCACCAATATTCTCTACCATTAACCTGTAGCATCAAATTCACCCATGTCGTACTTAGAAAAGAAAAGGAAAACAAAAGATAGTAGAAGACCTGGAAAAGAAGTAAACTATTTCCAATAAGTATCAATTGATTGGATTCTTATTCATGTCTGTGAATGTATGTATATGTACAGGCATGCATTTTTAAGCTTTTGAAAACTTACATTCGGCTGTATAAGATAATCCTGAGGGTTTAGAGTCATGTATGCGCCTTCAGTAAAGTTTAGAGTCACTTGAGGAAATACGTCAGTTATACTGACACTGAACAAAATAACAACACAGTCAGTCTTAGAGTTGGAATCACATCATAAAGATTGAATACACTCAACAAGAAATGAGACAGTATATCAGGAAATGAACTTGGAGATGATTGAATAGCATAGAAATCCCTCGATTGACCAGGCTTGCACTGATGGTGAAACGATGCTATTGATCTACACACATCAGAATAATTGAATGGAAATTAATTATCCCATACCTCCTGTTAAAGAGAGAATCCTACTAATTATAGTCAAAAGCATGTGGATTCTCAAAACTTACTCAAGAAGATGGGAAATGCTCAAATAACTTACAGCATTGAGAAAGGCATTATAAGCTGTTTCTTCAAGATATGCCAAAGTTGTCCCAGAATCAACTATTGTTCCTGAGTTGCTTGATGTTGCAAAAATTGATGGATCAATTGCTAGCTTTTGACCGTTTACAGAAATGCTTTGTAGATTGATATTATAATGGGACCTGTATGTTCATTTTGATGATAAAAATGGTTAGTCAAAAGAAAGGAATCAAAATAATTTTTTGTATTCCATTTTGGTTGTTCCTCTATTAATCATGTTTTCCCTCCCAACTTAATTTACTGTACAAATCCAAGCAATAAAGACTTCGTCTTAGTGTCAAAAAACAACATACTGTGATGGGACAAGCGAGGTATAAACTATATTCGGCTCCACAATCTGTCCAAGAACCAGTATACCTCCACCACTGTTATCTCCTCTCAAGCAGTGGGAAAATACATTGGGTGCTATGCCTTGTGAGGCAAGTTGAGAGACAATTGACAAATTCTGCGGTCCAAACCCAAAGATCCCATCCACTGCTCGATTTGAGTTCGTCAAGCGACCACTCCGTAGGAAACTACACCTGTTTCATAATCCAACATTTGAAGAAATGAATTATGAACTCTAACAAGCAAACACAAATAAATTAAAGCTATTAGCATCTCTTGAACTTGAGAAATTCTGTTAGCTCACCCGAACATAATGGTTCCTGTAGAATTTGTAGTGACAGAGCCCTTAAGAACTGTATCAAACCGCAACAAATCTGAG